TACAGTATAATTTAATTATATAAAAAAATAATAATATGCAATTCTTAAAATATTCTTAAATTTAGTTATTCAATTATAAAATTATAAAATTTTATATTGTAAATACTATATATACTTATATTAATATAGTATACTAAACCAGCTACATACAAACAATATATGTTTCTTAGACAAGCTATCAACAAAATTAATATTTAATTTATTCTATAATTTTAAATATATAAAATCATGAATAAATTAATTTAAGCTTTTATTCTTGGCTGTAATTTTTTACTTTTATATAGTACAATTTGTATATAAAGGTTAGTAATCTTCTGTAGTTACTATTTTAAAAAAATTACTAATAAAAATCTGAACAAAACCTTACATATCTTAATATCAAAAAATATATATATTATAAAAATTTTATTTTTAATAAATATTAAATAAATTTTCATAATTAATCAACTTTTAAAGAAATATATCTAATTATTAAATCATATATAGTATTAAATATTAGCAAGATTTTTAAATTATATAATAAAATTTTATGTTATATACTATATAATAATGAAAATATAGGTCTTTCTAATTTGGACAAAGTACCGGCTTATCGTTTTTACCTTTTATTGATTCAATAGTTTATTTAATAACTATTAAATCAATAAAGATAAACATGATTAATATATATATATATAAACCAGTACTCGGGTTTATTTCTGTCCGAATTAACCGATCGGAAATGTTGGAGGATGATTTCAAGGCAAAAACCCCATATAATAATTTTTTATAACAATTAAATTATTTAAATAAAATATATTTATTAATATATACTATATATGCTTATATAATATATGCTTCTAAAGATAATGATAAAATAAAAAACTAATATATATAATAATTTATAAAGTTTAAAATAAATAGATATATAAATTAAAAAATAAAATATTTTAAGATAACATGTATAAATGTTACAATACGTATTGGATTTATTTCACTAGAAAGCAGACATTAATCTATGCCGATTATGAGCATTATGATGAATCAAGATATTTAGTCATAAAAATCTTCTATTTACTATAGATAAAGAGACATACTGTATACGTAGTGATTAGGTGTACGTATACGTACGTACGTACATACGTATGTACGTACGTACGTAGAATAGATTTTACAAGTTGTACGTAACACCAGCCATTAAATTCCTTCCGCGATAAGATGAAATAAACGGATGCATTATTTGTATGTAAATATATTACATTAAAAGCATGGATCAATAGCGTAAATAGGTATAACAACGTGTAACAGTTTAATGGAGTTTAATCAATGATACAATATCGATATATTGCACAGCAATAATTAGCGTTAGTTAATGATTGATATGACGTTAAAGAACGAGCACGTTTTAGTAACAGTCACAAAAGAATTAAAATTATTACATAATTTGGCATAAATTATTCGAATTACATAAACTATTTAGACACGAGTAACGAGTAAACTGATACGTACGTACGTAAAATAAATTGATAAGGAAATAATAATAGTAAAGTTATAAATAGTAAAGATTGAAAATGAATCAGAACAAAGTTACAAACGTTATCAGAAACAATGAACAAAAAAGATTCACAAGTACAAAAAACATTCTTATCATTTTTGTTCATTTTTGCTTAATGACGAAATGTTGATTAGATTTTACAAACACATCAGATAAGATGAATCTAATCCGGCAATGAAAACGTCATCATATCTTTTTTCGTCATCTGCTTTATCATTATGCGTTATTTCTATTTCTATAATTACACATAATTACATATAATTACTTATCGTTATAATTTACTTATAATTTACTTATAATTACAGAATTACAGCCACCTTTAATTTTCCTATCAAAAATACAAGAGTGGCTTGAATTATGGTAACATTGCGATAAGAAACATAATGATAAACATTAGCGATAGGGTATTTGTACTTGCGTGAATTTTATCTAATCTATTTTGGGGAACGTAAATCTGGAGCTAAGTAGCTTTTAAACGTTAAAGTAGATTACTAATGGTCATGTAATCATGTAATTCATGTGATTAACATAATATGTAATCGTAATGGTAATCATAATGGTTAACCTAAGGGTTAGACGATTCCTATTTTCGATTATGAATTGCAATACGTACAACAAAGATATTACAAGATATTACAAATTTGGAAAAGTATAGAACGTAGTGGTACATACTGTACGTATAAACATAATAACAGTATCAGGTATATATCCCACAAATTAATTTCACAAATTAATTTGTTAATTATTATCTTTTGTTTCTTTATTTAACTTTCCTTTTAATATTCATTTTAATATTCATTTTAATATTCATTTTGACTTTATTTCTAAACCATATCTAGATTATTAAACATTAACTAAATTAAGGTTCATTTCCTTTTCATAAAGCATAAGACTTTAGTATATATAATAAAAATCGACATTTTTTTGATTACAAGTAAGAAAAATAAATATTATTGGTTCTCGTTAGGTTAGATCGGTTTGGATATCATTCGGTTTAATGAGCATTAGTTCAATATATATAGTTAGGAATAAAACGGTTTAGATTAAGAAGAGTGTATGTTATTGGCTTTATAATATATTATGCATTAATTTATTTTTATAATTTAAACTTTTTATAGAAAAAAATTTCGGAACTAATCATACGTAAAAGTAGGTGATATTATAATTTATATATCATTTATATATAAAACTGTTTCCAAAAGCATTTAGTTACAAAATTTAATTTAAAAAATAAACAATTACAATTTCAAATTTAAAACAGATCAGAAACCATGAAATTAAGATCTATCACAACAATAATTTTAATAACTTTACTTTATCTTCTTATCGTTCATCCTAACATTGGATTATCCAAAAGATCAACCAAAAAAAAATCAACCAAGCATAAAATGTCTAAGCATAAATTGCCTAAGCAGAAAATGTCTAAGCAGCAGGAAACAGATTGTAATATGGGGGCAATCGTTAAATTCATTCCAGATTATAATCTTGATGAACTCTGGGGGATAATCATTTTTTCGGAAGTTTCACTAAAGGGAAATCCACAAAAGCAAACAAAAATTGATGGAACATTTACAACGCCTATTGGATTTGAAGGATTAAAAACTATAGATGGGGAATATATTTACACGATAGAACTTTTTAATGGAGATAAAAAGGTTTATGATTTAACCGAACCGATATTTAATGGAGCTGCAATACACGGAAATGAATCTAAAATAGCAAATCTGACTATTTGTGGACAAAATTCAATAATTGGCAAAACAGTGGTTATCAAAAGAGATGAAGAAGAAATAGCCACAGCGAACATTGCAGGTTTAGGAACATTTAATGAAATTTAATGGTTGATATGTATAGTTGCCATGTATAGTTGATATGTATAGTTAATATGTATGGTTGAATGATGATAAATTGATAAATTGATAAATTGATAAATTGATACATACACCAATACTTCAATATATCAGATATGAGAGACGAATGTGTTTAAAATCATAATTTCATAAACAAATATGTGAATTACATAATATATAATATATAATAGTTATTCAATTATTCACTTAATTTATATAATGTAATGTCTACATCCTGAATTGTATATAATACCGATACCAACGGATTTTGTTACCGGAGTTAATTAAAGATAATGAATAAAGATAAAAATGAAGAATAAAGAGAATAAATAAAGAGAATAAATTAATTGAATTATCCAATAAGAATTAAATATAATGGATATAAAAGTTTCGTAATGATCAACATACATGCTTCTGAAATACAGAAATACCAGAAACTAGTGGAATCATATGTACAAATTTCCTGGGTGCATGTGCCCGTTCCTGTTTGTATTATAGGAACGAACTCCTTGTAACTCAATAAATTTTGCTGTAATCCTATAAAGTTTTGTAACCTTGTAATTTTAGAATTTTTAGAATTTTTGTAATATAGTTTGTGCATAATCAAACATGTTTCATACAAAAATGATAAACTTTTATTTCTCACGACAAAAAAAAAGAGGTGCTAGCTGTCATTTGATCAAACTTACTTAATAATGATAATTTACGTATTAATCTAGATTTTTTACCCCACAAAAAAAAATCAAGTACTCCACCCCTTGGCGTATTTACTTTTTTGAACTTTTAAAGTCAATCGATCATAAGGCAAAAAGATTTACCAAAAATTCTTCTAATTTCGTTTTAAGACAACAAAACTCATGCGTGCAAATAGCATGAAAGTTCTTTTTTTCAACACTGCAATAGAGAAAATCAATTTAGCAACTGGCAGTAACTACTGTAGTAAATATTGTAGTAGCGTAGTAGTAAATATTGTAGTAGTGTAGTAGTGTAGTAGTGTAGTAGTGTAGTAGTGTAGTAGTGTAGTAGTGTAGTAGTGTAGTAGTAAATACTGTAGTAGTAACTGTAGTAACTATAATAGTTACTGCTATAGTATATAGTTACTTTAATAGTTACTGCTATAGTAGTACTGCTATAGTAGTTACTATAATAGTTACTGTTATAGTAGTTACTACACTGCACCTAATACAGTACAGTTACCGTAGTAGTAATAACTACGGTTAATTGTAGTTCTGGCGTAAAAATTACATCCTTTTAAAAAAATATTTGAAGATCATTTCCTTCTTATAGTATATTTTAAATCTCTCATAGTCGTTTACCAGATTCGGTGAATTGATTCGGTCAACTCCACTCCGAGATAATAAAATTTCTAAATAAAATTTCTAAATAAAATTCCGATAAATTCTAATAAATTCTAATAAATTCTAATAAATTCCTTGGAAGAGTTTTCTATCACAAAGTTTAAAATTTTATGACTTTCTCATTCTAAAAATGTACATCAAAAGAATTATATGAAGATCGCTTACACTTTTCATAATGGTTTATTCATTGATATTGTTTTAAAAGACAAACAAAGAAGATGATAGGTTTTTCATTATCTAATAATAATAATAATAATAATTTTATTGGACTTTTGATAACGACATTATATGTGATATTTGGTAGATTATGTTAATACGCAAGATAAAGTTGATTATGTGATATTATTATGAATAAAATGCAAATATTCAAATATATCGACCGATTTTATCTACCTATTTTAGAACTCATTGATCGGCTATTTTATTCCACTAACGCTAAAGAAATAAAAAAATATATGTATCGAAATACACAATGTAATGTATCGGTATGTAATGTATGTAATGTATGTAATGTACGTAATGTACGTAGTGTATATAGTACAGTAAAAAAATTTACAAGCCACACAAACTATAAGTTTTCGGACATGTACATGCGCGAGTATGTTCTGTCTAAATAAATGATGACATGTAAACAGTACATAATGTGTAATATCGAGTACCAATTAAATTGCTATTTAAGTAATACTTTTTTGATGCATTCTAAATTGGTTACCTATATAGTTTTACTTATTTTTACATGATAATCCAAAGTTTTTACAAGGTTTTGCAAAGTTTGCATGGTTCGCATGGTTTCGCATGGTTTCGCATCGTACGATGTTTGATAAAATTATTCGTGCATAATTGAGCTGCTCTAATTGATGTTCTAATTGATGTTATTATAATTATATATTTTTTTTTAATGCATTTGTACATCCAAGTTTTGATCGTACGTGCGTTATTTTGATTGGTACTTGAATTTTTTTTTGATTACTTTTATGTTAAACAGTAAATTTAAGATTTGGACTTTTTTAAAAAAATTTTAGGAGGGAATTATTAAATCCGTGGATTAAAACATGTTTTCGAAAAGGAAATTAAATGATCAACGATCTCTTGATTGACATTAGCATTTTTTTTCGATCATTAGCATTAATTGTATAGTTAGTAATAATTGTAATAATCGTAATAATTGTACGTAATAATCGTAAATTATGTATAGTCTGTATAGATGTACGTATCGTTATACAGTAGTAACTACGTATCATTATCATTATCAACATAGTATTATTTAACTTTAAAAAATTCATTGTTAAAAACGAAAAAAACTAACACAGTATCAATATCAATCAAAATAACACATCATCAATATCAATCAAAATAATCAAAATTAAAAAATGTTTTTTTTCTCTGGCAAAAAATCTGAATTTCCGTACTTTATTTGATTTGACAAAAAATGTAATATTTCGGACAAAGATAAAATATACAAAAAAAATGATAAATAATATAAGGCAAAAAAAAAAAATAAAGAAAAAAAAATTGGCAAAACTAAAAATGGCAAGATTGGCAAAATCTGAAAATAACGTAAAATTGGCAAAATCGGAAAAAAAAAGAGGACCGAAAAGTAAATTGGCAAAATCTGAAATATGACAAACGAAATTGGCAAAATCTGAAGTAATAATAATAATAATAAAAAAAAAAAAAAAAAGAAAAAAACGAAATTGGCAAAATCTGAATATGACAAGCAAATTGGCAAAATCTGAATACATGAAAAAAAAAAATTGGCAAAATCTGAACATGACAAACAAAAGGTGGCAAAATCTGAATATTGTAGGCACTAATCGTGAACAGTTAATCGAATTTGTACGCAAAAGGATAATTCGTGAAAATTTGTCGTCGTTTAAAAAAAAACGACTTCTTAAAAAAGAATCGATTGGCGGCTAATTAATAGAAACCAAAAAAAAAAAGGTTTTCATAAATTTACAAATGATGATGGATGAATTGGAAATTGGTAACAGAAATCACAAACACAAACAAAAAAATTTCGAATTGATAAAATGGTCGAATGATAAAATAATAAAATTGAGGAAATCACAAACACAAACAAAAAAAATTTCGATGGAAATAAATATGGTTTTCAAATATCTTAACGCGTTTTTGGTGTAAAGATTTAAACTAATCAATAGTGTTAAATCATTAGTCGAGCATAAAAAATAAGCATAAATTTCGGGTATATAAAACTTAAAGTATTGAAAAAATGGGGAGTTGTCATTAGAGCGGTGAATAACATAAATCACCTTCGAACTCTATGAATCGTAAATTTGGAATGAGAAAGAAAATCTTTTAAAAAAGGCTAACAAACGTAATCACCCACAAATACACACGAGTGTTAATTGAACAATATTAAATAAAAATGTTGTAGAAAGTTAAATTTAACAATGTTAAAATTTTAACAATGTTATAATGTTTGAAATTTGAATAATAATTGAATGTTTGTTGAAGTTGAACGATATTGAACAATGTTACAACTAGAAAACAAAACCCCCGTCACAAGAAAAAAATGAAAAGACGGCATGCTGCAAAAACCCAAAGAAACCTAGCTCCGTGTGCCGATGCGTTTCTTCATCGGACGATTCGGAATTAGCACCGTATTGCCGGGCTTCATAACTTCATCGTACAGATAGAAAAATAAATTTGAAGGGGGATAAGGAGGAGGAGTGATATGGATGATGATATGGATAATATGAATAGTATGAGTGATATGAGTGATATGAGTGATATGATTGATAAAAGATTTTGTGAGAGAATGTATTAGATATTAATATATGGAATATTAATATATATTCGTGTATATGATGTTCACACACGATGATAATATATTTTAAAAAGCTGCTGAGATATTATTATTTTTCATCGGTACTTAGGCGTAGGCCGCTTGGCAGTGACCTGCTAGAAAAAGATCCTTAGGAACCGCATTTCGACAGTGACCAGCTTCAATAATTTCATTGAATTTAGGGAGTGTCGCTTTACACTTGTTTAATGGACAGAGATATTGGTCCCTAGAAGAACAGCCGTGTGAGTGTGTGCGTAAGTGCGCGTGTGAAACTTTTTCAAGAGATTTCTTCTTCATTTCTCAAAGATACGTCATAAAAGTTGAGGTGGGAAAAGGTTGGTTCATAATTTGAAAGTTTTGGAAACTTTCGGAGACGTTTGGAGAGGAGATTTGATCTTTGTAAACGAAAATGATTTACAAAGTATGATATCAATGTATACTACGATATATATGTATATGATTATTAACTAAACAATATACTAACAAAGTTAGATATGTTTGTTAAAAAGAATCGAAAAAATATTTGCTCACGCATACGTTTTTTGCGTGGATAATATAAACGAATAGGCTATCGAAGGTAATAAAACACAAACACAAACATCTTTTTTTTTGGAAGAAAAGAGGTATCTGATTAACACAGATAAACATGAAAAGCGATAGGAATAGATAGTTGAAGTGATAAGATATGTTGAAGATGGGAACCAGTTATAAAAATGGTATACCAACTTTCTCTTTATCACTTTTTTTTGTTTTTTGAAAAGAATACGATAAAAGTGATCATTTTTTTGTTAAAGACTCATCTTGAAATTTCGTGGTATGATTCA